TGCATATTGGTGCTTAATCCACCTTCGAAGTCCTGGCCCTCCAGAAATCTTGCTCCTCGTCACGCCGAGGAGAGCCCTTTGAAAGGTAGTCCCTCTTCTGCAGACACACTTCTCTCCACCCCGACCTCATGGAAAGGTGGCTCCAGAGACAAGCAATCTGAAAACCTCTCTGTTATCTGGGTTACGCTTCTTCTTTTGGGATTCCAAAACTTTCTGCAAATGGCTAATTACTTTGGGGGTGATCCCGAAATAAAATGATAGAGGTGGGGTGGGTTACGGAGGAGGGTGCTCAAGTGAAATTGACAATCCAGGAGTGTCATTCTGTCAAGAGTTTCTGAAGACGTCCTCGTAATTTCCCTTAAGAAATCTGGTTTTACTAGTTGATCTCACTAGAATTCTTTGCCTAGAGGCTCAAAATGAGTAATAGGCCGGGTGTCTCCCAGCCCTGGGCTCTTGTGACAATAAGTACATTCAAGGAGAGCAATGGGGTGTTTACAATTAGTACCCAAACTTCTTCTGCTTGTCAAAAAGTCCCTAAATAACCCCTCCCCCAATCAAGCGCGGAGCCCGGAGGAGGTAGAAATCAGGTGCAGGCATCTTCGAAAGGAATTAAAAAGCCAAAGCCGATTTTATTTCCTCCAGTCAAGTGTGAATGATGGGGCGGCCCGGCAACGGTGGTGAGGTCCACGGACAAAGCGTGCAGCTGGGGCGGGGAGGGGCATCGCGAGAATGAAGGCAACTGAGCTGTTTCCTTCCGGGTGCCACTTCCCTGCTCTATACCGAGGCCATCCACGAAGGCCTAGAGGCCGCCTTGACCGTGGAAACACAACCCAACAGGTCCCTGCCTCCCCACAAGTGCCCGTCACCCCGGATAGCTGTGGGTTTATCTCCTCAAAATGACTCCCAACGGGTTTATAAAATAGAGCTGTTAGCAAAAAAACTTCAGATTAGTCGATTTCAAGTAATTTGTATGTTTTAGGTTAAGTCGAAACCGCGAAAGCTCAGGTTACATTTTAAAATATGCAAGTCTTCTGGGAGACTCTGGGCACTTGGTAAGCCTCATCTTAAAAAGTGTGTACTGGGGCGCTGATTTGAGAGTTTGGAATCTCCCCTTTTAGTCACAATACAAAAGTTTTATTCCTGTCCGCCGTCGGGGAGGTCTGGAGATTTGCTGCCCTGGGCTGTCTCTGATCTTCCGCTCATTTGTAAGAACCTGGACCAGGTCCGTCTATAATTTTCATTATTTTATTAAGTTGAGGGTAACGTGGACAACGACTGGAAAGTTGGATGGCTGGTGGACCAGCAGTCGGTCAAGCTTGGTTGACCAGAGAAAATAAAACAGAAGACCCGCATGGACGCCTCTGGGGCCGGCCGGACAGGGAGCCCAAGAATGTTTTACATCTCTGGGGGGTTCCTGGCTAGCCTGCGGCTGGCAATTCAACCCGGAGGATCCCTGCCCCTGGGGTTCATCAGGGACTAACTAGTAGCAGAAGAGGAAGGGGCGGGGTTGGGGGGAAAGGAAAGAGAAAGAGGCAAGCTTTAAATATATTCTTTAAAGGGGGGAGTAGCGTTTCTTTGCAGGTAGGTGGGGTTCCCTTACCACCATTCCATCCTCAGCGTTGGACTGTATCTGGGTGAGAATAGGGATGGGAAGAAGTAGGATGGGGTGGGGGCTTTCAGTAGTTGCTAGTAGCTTGCTTGGTCTTCTCACCTCTTCCAGGAGCTCAGGAAGCTGAAAACAAAACTCTTAGCAAGGTAGAGTGACCAGCCCACCTGGGCCTCTACCCCTAGACAAGAAGGAGGGATGATGAAAGGTGCAAGCTGGCCTAAAGTAGCTCCTTGGTGTCCTCCCACTTCCATAAGGAGGCCCAGGTTCCCCCATTAACTTTATATTCCTTCATTCCACAACTATTCATCAAGCATCTACCATGTGCCAGATACTATAATAGTCTCTCAAAAAGGCAGGCTAAATGGAAATCATGCCCTACATCCAGACCCTCAGGACTGGTTGCCTGGAATTGTTCAAGTATGTATCTTGGTATTGCCAGAATGGATACTCCGGATTCCAACACTGGGCAAATGGACACAAGGAAATACAACTTTTGCATAACTTTCACTTCTTTCCTTTTTTCTTTCTTCAAGTAGCAAAGAACCATTAATTAAAGGAATAATTACTGCTACCCTATATTATCCCAACCTGTTCAATTTCTATCTGCAGCAGACAATGCTAATAATGGCAATTATTGCTTCTATAAACACCCGGAGGCAGCACTCTTCCTCAGCAGTGTGTGTGTGTGTGTGTGTGTGTGTGTGTTTAAAGAATATATATAAAAAGTTCCCGGCTCATTTGCATAGCTTCATCTTTACCTTTTCCCATTCAGCCCTTGCAAAAAGCATATCTATTCAAAGCCCTTGCAAAAAGCATATCTATTCAAAGGGCATTTAGTCCATTTCTTTCTTGGCCGGTAAACCTATTCATCAATTGTTCTGCCTTGTAGATTGCATTCTAATGCTAATCTAGCGTGTTAAATATCTTTTTGTTCCCCTTTCACCGTTTTGTCATTCAGTTTATCCAGTTTTGGTCACCCATTTTATTTATTTATGCGCCTGCTCCTATTCAGGGGCTCATGTATTTTTTATTATGTTGTTTCACTGTCACGCAGTGTCAACTTAGTCTATTCAATGGGGGCTACTTGAAGGCCGGAGGGACAAAGCGTGTACACATTGCACCGCTATTCATTCCGGCCAGCTGGATCGGCTGAAAAAAAAACCTTGTGAAAAGAAACGCCTCACAATGGACACAGAAGAAGTGCACAATGCTAACAGTTTTCCAAATACCACTGATTGGTTTCTTCACAATGAGGAGAAAGCCGCCGCTTTTTCTTAGCTCCACTTCAACAAACAACACTCTCACAAAACCTCCCAACCCTACGTTTTGTTCCCGGACAAAACCTCCTCGACTGTCTAAACGCTCCCACTGAAGGACAAAAAAAAAAAAAAAAAAAAAAGGATAAAAAAAAAAAAAGCTCTTTTCACCATTTCCCCTTTTTTTTCCTGCAAGACGAAAAAAGAAAGGGAGGGGGATTGTCAGTGAATTAATAATATCAGTCTTTTAAAAGAAGAGGGCTGACCTTTGAGATGCACTGGGCTGAGGGAGAAAGAACAGGGGAGAGATTAATAAAGTTTGGACGGCGCTCTCTCTGCCTCTGCTGGGCTGTGGGCGCAAGAAAGACTCAGCCACTCGGGGCCGGCGAGTTGCAGCAACTCCGCTCGCCGGGAGCACCCGGCCCGCAGCGCCGCGCCGAGCCGTGCTCTGATTGGCTGGCGCGAGGTCCCTGTCTGCTCTGGGAAGACTGGAATCTCCTTGGCATCTTCAGCGCCTGTCGCCTAGGCAGCCCGGAGCTTGGGGGCGAGAGGGAGATCCGCGGGGTTCTGTACTTGTTTCTTGGGTGGAGGTGTCAAAGAAATCACCACAGCGGTCAGCTCCACTGCGCCCCGCAAGCCGCCCCCTCGCACAGCAGCGTCCCCCAGCACCGGTCCTCATGGCTAAAACAGAGCAATTCCACCTGTTTGCTCACAGCCCGAAACCACACGCGTGGCCCCTCTGAGACGAGAATCCCTTAAAGCTTTTAGGCGACCGTGACTACCAAATAAATGTCGTTAGGGCTTTTTAAAAACTTACATTTAAAAAATGGCAGAGGAACAAAAAGAAGGGAGAGAAGAAGGGAGGGAGGAAAGTAGGAAGGAAGGGAGAGGAGGGAAAGGGATGAAGAAATGGAGAGGGCGGGGGCGCCAACAGCAGCTCTTTGCCCAGTCCCAGCGCTGTCATTTGTGGGTCACTTTCAGACTCTTGCACCCATCCAGCCCCAGCCTATTCCCCACGCCCTCCCCCTCCCCACCTCTGACTTCTGCACAGCCCGACTTGGCCAGAAGCTGTCTCGAGGCGCAGAACCCGCCAAGTTGTTAGCAAGACCACTGGAGCCAGTGTGTGATGCATCTTGGGGGGCCTCTCGAGATGCTAAAACAGCCGCACAATCTGTTGGCGATGTGACCCTGGTGCTCACCCCTGGCCTCCTCCCCTCTCCCCTTATCCGTCTTCCTAGTCCTCTTCCCATTCATCAACACTCGGGAGCGTTTCTCCCAGAAAACGCTGATCTTTGGGAAAAAGGGAGGGGGCGGGAGATCTTCGGGCCGGTGGGGCCGAGCTGGAAGGCTCAGGGAGGTAACTAAGATTTAGGGCTGGGGTGATTTCCAGCGAGCCGCAGGAAGTTCCGTGTTGAGAAGTGATGGGCTGCTACAAAAGGGAAAGACGAAGCTTTGAAAGGATTTAATTAACCGTGTCAGGGATAATTACCCCTGGACAGTCCAAATTAGTTTTGCATAATCGCTCAGAACCATATGAATTAACTTATAATATTGCAAAGAGCTCGGGGAGTAACAGGAGAGGGATCGTTTTAATTAGTGAATCAGGGTCAAACCAGCAGAGCCTATTTCTCACATTTCCCAAACTTTTCATGGTTTTTAAAATATTATTCCGTTGGGAGAAAACAATGACTTTAAAGACTTTGGATTGCTTATAAAGACGTGCAGCTTCAGGGATGGCCTGTGTCAAAGGAGAAAATAGTTTAAGACTTGTGCATGGTATCTTGAGAATTCGCATCTTGGTGAGGGTGGGTTTTGTCTTTGCAGTTAATATTTTTTTTTCTGATAGTCTCCTTGATACCCTATAATTTCTTTTCTAAAACTAAAATACTTTATGAATCTAAAACTTTTCTCCAGTGGAGACTTGCCTAGCTCTGGGAATTCAACCCTTCCCATTAGAATTGATTATACTGCACTTCTATTTTAGTGCTGTTAGCATTATAGAATGAAGCTCTAAAGAGGCCAAAAGTTGTACATTTCTGTTGGCCATTACCCTTCCAAATAAAACCTCAAGGTGTAAATAAGGAGTACCCCCAAAGATATGTGAACAAATTACACTGATTTAAGTGGTGGGGGCTATTCTACTAACAAGATAAAGTGGTCAGGCAACTTTCCCCTCTTAAAATGTTACTGGAAACTGGTGAAATGCTTTGAACACTCTGGACGTTTTCAATGAGCTCTGTTCTACTGGTTCATGAATGCCTTTTATTTTATTTTATTTTTTAAAGATAATGCAACTACTTGGGTTTTTTAAATCTACTTTCCTATTCACGATTAAAAATGTGATAAATCAGGTTTTTGGCTCTGAATAACAATGGCTTGATTTAGATTTCCTAGTAAATCTATTCAAAAGTGAAACAAAGGGTGCCTTTGGAGGATACCTTACACTTCACCTGGACCAGGCACGTAAGGGCAATTCAGATAAAAATCTTGTTAGGAACTCAACAAGAAATAGAGGATTTTCTCTTTTCCCTGGTTCAGGCTTTATTTAAACTCTTTGTTCAAAAAAATGAACAGAGTGATAGTCGGATTCTAATTTACAGATATAGCTTAGACGCATCTAATATTAAATTAGAAGATCACACAAGAAAACCATTTACACATAAAGGTTAAAACCAATATTTAAACTTTTTAAAACTTTATATTACATAAAGCCAAAAATGAAACTAAATACATGTTAGCCAACTTCATTCACAAACATTAGTCAAAATATATACATTTAAAAGGAAACAAAACAACAACAACAAAAAACCCCATAACTGAGAATGGTTCTTTTTTCTAAAATGTGTTTTATCAAAATTTGCAAATGTATTGCAGGAGATCTAAAAAATAAGCTAATCCAAGAGGGAACTCCAAAACACATTTAAAAGGTTCAAGTTGGAAGAGAAATGACAACTGGAAATGAGAGGCATCTGTCAAAAACAATTCTGTGCTTCTTTCAGTTTTCCTAAATAATAAATATAATTACCACTCAGACAAAAAGTCTGATTTAATCTTAGATAAAATTGCGATTCTGAAACAGTTCCGCAATATTTAAAAGTTAACTTTGACATTTGCTCAAATGTTTTTGAGTCTAAAACTGACTCAAATTTAGGGGGACGAAAATTACACATTTTCCAAGACTCCAAGTTTTCACTGACACATACACATTTACAATCTTAAGATGATTTCAGCCGTAAGAGGAAAATAGCAACCTTGCTCTTTCCCCTTTTTGTAAACCATGTCAAAAATCCAAACCAGTGGACTCAGGGAGACTTCGTAGATTTTTTTTTTTTCCTTAAGGGGGAGAAAATTCAATTGACAACTTTCATCTCACACATGTGTCTTGTTTAGATTTCTTGCTCTTTTGAAAAAGAGCTCTTGCTCTGATTTGCATGTGGCGTGATAAACAAAAGAAACCGTGATCGTCTCACATACAAAAGGCCAGATTCGAGCTGGTCACTGGTCAAGAATGGATCCGGTCTGGGTATTCTGCTTGGGAGAACAGAGATCTACAAAGTTCAAATAGTACAAACAGGGAGCAAGGCTGTTCAGAGCTATCCTGCTCGGAGAAACTAATGACACAGATCAGCTTTTCCCGTGTGCCAGCCATTTCAGACCTAATATTTGAACAGAGTGCATGCAGCGCAGACGGGGGAGGGGGTGGAGGGGGGAAGGAAAGTAAAGAGAAACAAAAGCAAAATCGACAATAAAACTCCCAACAACAAAACTGGAAAGCCCAACATGTCAAAAAGTTACTCCTCCACCTATGTGGGTCAAAACGCAACAGGTTCCGAAGTGCAAAGCAAACACCAACTGCTGCCGGATACAAACGCCCTCTTTTTAAAGTTGGCTGCCGAAGTGCGGGTCGGAAATGATCCTGTGAATTCACACGCACACTCGCCCGCGCCCTCGCGCGCTCTGCCACTCGCGCCCCGACTGGCATCTCTGCCAGTGCCTGGCACCTATACATCTTATGTATATACAAACCGGGCCCCCAGTGGCCTGAGGGCGCACTGGGAGGCCGCGGAACTCGTACCTATACATATGTACACGTGTGCACACCGGTCCTCGCGAGGCGGCCCCGCGGGGTCATAGCGCAGCGGCGTAGGCCGCGGGGTAGGGGTCCAGCTGAGACTTGCCCATGCCGGGCAGCAGGATGTAGGCGAGCGGCGGCTGCAGCCCAGGGCTGGGCCACGCGCTGCAGTTGCACGGGATCATGTAGCCCGGGTTGCCCGGGCTGGGGTGCGAGTGCGTGTGCCCCCCGGCGGCCGCGGCCGCCGCTGCAGCCGCGGCCGCCGCGCCGTGAAAGGCGCCAGCGCCCGCGGTGGGGTAGCCCAGAGACGACGCGTACGGAAGGCCGGACGACGACGACGAGATCTCTGCCATCTTGGAGCCCAGGTCGAGCAGTGAGTAGGGGCTGCCGGCTGCGGCGGCGGCGGCAGCGGCGGCGGCGGCTGCGGCCGACTGCGGGAAGAAGACGCGCGCGGCGGCGGCGGCTGCAGCGGCGGCCGCCTTCTCAGGGTTGGCGAGCAGTGACTCCGGCACCAGGCCGCCGCCCGCCCCGGCGTGAAGCCCGGCGCCCGCCTTGAGCGCCGGGTGCTCGGCGTCAGTCACGCCGCCCAGGCCGTAGGGCACAGGGAAGGCGAACTTGTCCTTCTTGAGCAGCGTCTTGGGCTTGCGCCGCGGCCGGTACTTGTAGTCGGGGTGCTCCTTCATGTGCATGGCGCGCAGGCGCTTCGCCTCGTCGATGAACGGCCGCTTCTCCGACTCCGTGAGCAGCTTCCACTCAGCGCCCAACCGCTTGCTGATCTCCGAATTGTGCATCTTGGGGTTCTCCTGGGCCATCTTGCGCCGCTGAGCCCGCGACCACACCATGAAGGCGTTCATGGGCCGCTTGACGTGGTCCACCGGCTTGGACATGCTTTCACCGTGCCGCGGCTGCAGCCCGCCGCCGCCGCCCGGGCCCTCGCCCTCGGCCCGCAGGAAATCAATGTTGGCTGCCCGCGGGAACCCGCTCGGCCGGCCGGCCAGAGCCCCGGCGTCGCTCCCGCACGGGAGGAGGGGGCTGGGGGACCAGCCCAGGGCCGCGGCGCTGCACTCCCGGCCTCCTGGCTGTTCTCCCGCCGAGCGCTCGGGAAAATCCTTTCTGGGACACTGGAACTTCTCGGCGGGGCTCCCACACCGCAGCGGCAGTTAGTCCTCTGCTTCCTTTTTGTGCTCTCCGGTGGAGTTGGCTCTCGATCTCCCCGCAGGTAGAGGCTGCCTGGCAGAGCTCCCCCCCCCCTCCGTTTTCTCTTTCCTAAATGCAAAGCTGTCCCGAAAGTTGCGTCGCGGAGGCTCTACCAAGTTGAGCCGAGGAGCCCGCCGCCGCGTGCTGCCAAGTGCCAAAGGGGGCTCTCGGCGGCTGGAGTGTTTGGGTTCTCCTGGGTGACTTTCTCATTTGACAGAAGCAGATGGGGTGGGGGAGGAGAGGAGGTGGCCCCGAAGGAAGAGGAGGGGGGGAGGCGGAGGAGGGTCCGGGCGCGCCACGGGAACGCAGAGCTCAGCAATGGATATAAATACAAATACGGCAGCACCAGCCAGTCTTCTTGGCTTCAGGCAGGGCGTGCTGATGGGAACGCCCCTATCGGCTGGGTTTTTTTCGGGGGGACTGTCCCTCCAGCACCTGCCTTTCAAGTCTTCCTCTCTGGCCTTTGCGCTGGAGGGGTGAGGAAGGAGGCTGAATGAGGCTTGAGCAACCTTGGGGTCGCCCGGCCTCAGAGGAAATTCTCCTGGCTCTCCCAGGCGCGACGTCGGGCGGTCCCCCCGGCCATGCTGACCCCGCTCGCTCCAAGCCCCTCCAGGCGCGCCGGCCGACCAGAGCGCGCCGGGCGTGGAAGGCGGCCCAGCCTCCTCCGCGCTGCAGCCCCGGCCGCGTCCCCTTGGCGCTCCTCTCGGCCGCCGCCCGGCACTTGTAACCAACTTCTCCCAAGTTTCCTGCGCCGGCGCCGCCGCGCCCCTCTCGACGCGCTCTCCTCCGAGCTTGCGTGGCGCCGGGGGCCCCCTGTCTTCGGGGTTCACCCGCTGCAGCCGACCAGGCACTGGGGCCAAGATGCTGAAAGAGGGGTTTAAGGAAAACGCGCCATCACCTCAGTTTCGCAGGTCTGCGCTGGGGCTGCTCCGGCTTTCCCCACTGCGGCAGCCCAAAGGGCCCCTTTCTGGTCCAGGTCGCCACTCCACCGACACAAGGCGGCTGGAGCCTTCTGAACCCGCTCAGGTGAGTGTCGCTACCTGCGTGTGTACGCGCCCAGAGCCGGCGCTGGGTGTGCATGTCCAGCCGCTGCTGTGTGTGTATATCTTGGGGCTTGCGGAGGAGGTGGAGCCCTGGACTCCAGGAGGGGGGAGGGACCGGAGGAGCCTCCTCCCGCTCTCACACCCCCCAGGACCGCGAATTAACAGGATCCCCCCTCTCGCCCTCCGCCCCCTCCCAATACTCCTCCTCCCACTCCTTTTCACTTGAGAGCAGGTTTAGGCGAGTGGAGAGTCCGCAGCGCGCCGAGGAGTCTGCGCACTGTTTTGCGTTGGCATCCCCCGGTGTCACTGCTGGCTGCCCTGGCGGGCCCAGCGCTGCTACTCGGTCGCGGCTCCTGGAGCATCTGCCCGAAGGAGGTCGGAGGCGCGCAGAAGAAGGAGAGAGCCTTGCGACCTACGGAGGAAGAGGGTTAAGCTTGGGGAAAGGGGGGAAGCACCCTTGAAAATATTTGAGACTGTTCCTAGCAAGAAATGCTCATTTTCCTTGGAGGTCCAAATGTAACTTGCAATAGATGCTTCCTGCGTTTTCTTGCACTGCTGGTGCATCTAGTCTGAAGTAGTGGAGTGAAAAATAGCTCAGGAGGGACTGAGCGTCCTCTTGGCAACCCTTTTGAAAAGGAGCTGGCCCAGGCTGAGATTATGCGTCCTAAAGTTTTCAACTCTTTAACAATTCCCTCTCTCTCTTTTTTTTCCTTTTAATCCTGGTCTCCACAACCATCCATATTGCTGATCTCTTTAAGGTACAGTTAACTTTACAGTATCTCACTTAACTGCACAGGGTGAAGATGTTGATAATAAGAAGTATAAATTGTTTCAAAGAAAGAAGTAAAACATTCATCACTTTATACTGGGATATTTTTATGCTTTTGAGTACAATTTTCTTGCTTAGTAGTTAGAGCAGTTTTTTCTTTAATTGATAGATGCAAAAAAAAAAAAAATCAAACAGCATAGTTTTGTTTGCATGTTTTTCTCACTTCTTGATCTGCAGCACGTCTGTCTGGGGGTTTTAGTCTCAAGGTGGCCTGCCTTCCAGGGAGAAATTGCTTGCCTTCTTTCTTTGGCAGTTTGAATTTGACCTAGCTATGTGTTACGTGCAAGTAGGAACTTCTATAAAGGCTTAACTTTTGAAGCCTTCCTGCAATTTTATATTGAGTACACACCCACACAGAAACACAGAACATTGATTGTAATTATGAGCTTGAATAAGAATTGTTTTAGGCCATCATATTATTTTAAAGTTTGACTTCTTCTGTTGCTCATTTTTAATAAAAGACTAGTGATTGTTTTCTTTTTAATTTTAGGTATGATAACTAGAAATGTGACTCAGCAATAGCATGTTATGTGGTTTTTGTCTTTTTGTTAATATGACACATTTACAAATGTTCACTTTGTATCAGTTATGCCTTTGTATTGCTAAAATAATTGAACCGATTTCTTAAGAACCATATTCCTTTAACAGGCTCTGTAAAGTCTGTCATTCATAGATTATTGGTGGTACAATGTTAAAACACCAGCAGGTATGATTATATAGACTAGAATATTAATATACTGTTTTCTGATAATAAACTACAAAGCTATCATCCCTGAGCTTTTAAACTACTAACTTAAGTTTGAGACAAAAAAATTATATACTGTCAAATAATATATGTTTATTATTACAAGAGATGAAAAACTGTTATTCACTAAATTTTGTGAATAAAGTTGAGTCTAATCATAAAAATTATCTTGACATATGAAAAGGAGGATTGAAGCAATACATTTGATATTGGTGAATTTAGATTATTTTATACTCTTTAAAATTTAAAATCTGCAACAAATTATTAGCACATTGAAAAGAAATATTTATGTACGTGAATGATGTGTGTACTATGTATGCTATATCTTATAAAAATAAAATTCAAAAAATTCTTTGGATATACTTTTTCCAGTATAAGCTGTGCAGAAGTACCTGTTTAGTGATAGTGAATGAACTGAATTTGAAACTTCTCAAGTCCACAAGTGTTGAACGACTGAAAACAAATATGTCATTTAAAAAACTGTGTACTTGTTCATCCATTCACCAAATAAAACTTCACACATTTCAAAATAGGACAGATTTGGACTTCAATTTTGCATTTCAGGGGATCAATATTCTTGGCCCAAGCCCTTCACAACCAAGGAAGGAGACCTTCTATAAGCTACCTCTAACCTAACCTGGTTGAACTTTTAACAAATTTCAAGGAATTTTCATTCATATGTACCAAAATGTAAATTCATGTTTAATTTTTTCCTACGTTATATATGAATTAATGGTGTTATGGTTTTGTTCTTGTGCCATTTTGTCCAAAAGGTGAAAAATACTAGGATATAGGAAATGGAATAGTCTTATGTGAGGAAATAGTGAAAGAAGAATTATAAGTGTGATGGGCCTTGTCCACTCTTGAAAGTAAACACCTGGAGAAAAGATTAACTCCATCAGTGGAATTCTGTGGGTCTGTATTTTCCAGTGGCCATGGTAATGCCCACCATCACAAATATATCTAATCAGACACTGAGAGACACTCTCAGAAAAAGTTGATGGGTCTGTTTAAATTGTTTCCAATTTTCACTATAAGCCCTTCCCAGTAAATGGTCTCCTTTTCAATTCTAAAACTTTCACTAGGAGGCAGCAATGAGGTTGTTGGGGAAATACCCTGGCAACACCAGACTGACTAGCTCTCTTTTTCTTTCTCTTCTATAAAAGAGAACACCTAAGCCTCAAAACGAACTAAGACATTTCCCTTCATCTTTTTCAGTCTCCCCTCTCTCACTGGATTTTCACCCAGATAAGTTCACTGTTGCATTTTTCTAGAACCATGGATGTGAGACCTCAGCAAAGAGAGGAAATCCATGGGATACTGAGAGATGACCAGATGGAAGGGATGGGTAGTAAAGGTGATATACCATCAAGATGAAGAAGGCAAATAATTGCACCAGAAGCACCAAGAGCCTGCAGCTGTAGTCAGAGAACCTTGAGGTTCTAAAGCAAGTGCAATGCAAGAATCCATGAGCTTTCATACTTGGGTGGAAAGGCAATACAGCCTGTTGGTCCTGTTAGGAAGGAAATGAGGGAACAAAGCCAACCTTGGACTTTTGCCACAGCCCCTCTGTCCTACTATCAGTCCCTATAAAGGGAAAAACCCCAAGGACCACATAAATCCTAAGAGACAAGAAGAGCTGATTGTGTTCAATAATCCTGGCAGGAGCTACTAGCTGCAAAAGTAACCCTTTACCATTTGCTCCTAAATTTTCATCTTTTTGAGATTTCTGTCCCTTTATTCACACTGTTCCTGCCATACGTGGAAACTAGGAATATACAGATCAATTATGGAGAATACGTCTCCTTGTTTCTTCTTTACTGTGCTCAAGCAGGCTGGCATTTTGAAAAAAGGGGCATTACCTAGATGACAGCAAGAAAGCCAAAAAAAAAAAAAAAAGCCCTCTTTCGCCCCTCCCAAACCATTATGATAAAAGATAATACAAATAATCCAAGACAGATAACTTCACAAAATTCTGATTTTAGATCTCAATAATCCTATAAAAGCATGGAATGCTTCAATTGTTTTAGGCTAAGTGCTTTTTATGTGGGAGACAGCTAGTCTTAAAACCAGAAATGAATGAGGAGATGTGGGTAGTCAGCCTGTCGTTGCGTGGCCTGGGTAA